GAATCATTTGTTTAAATGATCCAAAGGACCCATGTTTTGATTTAGTATAATATCAAGTCTTGGGTTAAAATTAATACTTTTTATGACGAAACTTAAGTGTTGTTTGTATGTTTAGCTTTGGTTTCACACAGTGAAAGTCCTGTATCTTCCTCCCTATGCAGACTCATTAGATGTGTTTGAGACGCGTCAAAATGAACGTAATCCAAGAGGGAATCCCTCAAAACAGAATCGACCATTTCCTTCAGACAGTTTTAGGAAACCAGGTTGCAAATGCATGATTTTTTTGTGTGCAATTAACTACGTATCATTTTGATATCAGTATTGATGCAGCAGTACGAGTTTGACAAAGATATTTAACAGAAACGTAATGTTTTAGTGACAGTCCAGATTTCCAACAGCAGTTTGTGCATCTAAACGACTGGTTAAACTTCATTTAAAGACTGCAGAAGCTGAACCAGAATTGGCAGAAAGTGTCAATTTACAGATCCTCCTGAAACGAATGAACGAGGTTTTGTTAATCTGATGATGACAGAACGAGCCCCGGACGCTCCGCTGGCCTCGCTGCGTGCCGTGCACTCAGACACATATCAGTAATAATTGATTTCCATGCATTTGCTTAAAGGGCCCATGTCATGCTTTCCCGGTTCTTACCCGTCCCCTTGTGTGTTATGAAGGTTTTTATGTAAACGGTGTGCAGAGTCACAAACCCTCAAAGTACACCCTGTAGCGAGTAAAACTCTAACACAGAAAATACCTCCCCAAAACGCCTCGTTGGAGATACGTCACTGCCCATTTGAGTCTTCCATTTCGTTCCGGGTACGGCATGATGTCATGCCGTACCCGGAACGAAATGGACCAATCTGTGGAGCCGTTACGTTACGTCCGCGGTGCCGTTACGTTAAGCCCGCGGTGCCGTTACGTTAAGCCCCCGCTGATTGGTCCAAATTGACCAATCTACGGACTTCCTCACACACACATCTGTGTGCAGGGAGCAGGCAGCTCAGCTGATTTCTCCTCCCTGGCTGCAGGCTGATAACAGACAGTTGGGATCGCGGCGAAATACTCTCTGCAGACCCATTCTCTCTGCAGACCCATTCTCTCTGCAGACCCATTCTCTCTGCAGACCCATTCTCTCTGCAGACCCATTCTCTCTGCAGACCCATTCTCACAGCGTTTATCAACCTTTTTCTTACTCAATATCAAGCCACACTTATTGTTTTGACTTCGGCTGTGACTTTGTGTGTGCTCAGGATGAGTTTGGCTGTGTTTGGCTGTGTATCCTAAACAAGGAAACAACACCTCCACGGAGCTCAGCGCGATTCACAACATCCCGACCAATCAGAGCACACTGTGCTCACAGGGAGGGTGGGGGCTGGAGCTTTTGGAGCTACAACGAGCCGTTAAAGGCAGAGAGTGAAATTCAGTGAATACACGTAGTTTACAGAGATGCTGTTTGAGAAACCAATGTGAGTTTGGAGAGATGCTGTATGAGAAACCAATGTGAGTTTGGAGAGATGCTGTTTGAGAAACCAATGTGAGTTTGGAGAGATACTGTTTGAGAAACCAATGTGAGTTTGGAGAGATGCTGTATGAGAAACCAATGTGAGTTTGGAGAGATGCTGTATGAGAAACCAATGTGAGTTTGGAGAGATGCTGTTTGAGAAACCAATGTGAGTTTGGAGAGATGCTGTATGAGAAACCAATGTGAGTTTGGAGAGATGCTGTATGAGAAACCAATGTGAGTTTGGAGAGATGCTGTATGAGAAACCAATGTGAGTTTGGAGAGATGCTGTATGAGAAACCAATGTGAGTTTGGAGAGATGCTGTATGAGAAACCAATGTGAGTTTGGAAAAATGCACAGTATAAATCTATTCTAGTAGACCTCAACAATGGAATTATGATCAGTGGAAATGGCCATGACATGGGCCCTTTAGTGTATTACAGCGGCACGACATGTCCTGCATGTTCGATGGGATCAACAGACAACCTTGACACAGAAAACCAGCTCTAACATCAGGACACACACAGATGTTCAGGACGAGCTAAAGGAGAAATGCTAATCTCTTTATGTCTGAATTCAGATATTAGTTAGTTAGTTCTCTTGGTTTGGTTCTTGATTTGATCCGGACTAAACGGACAATGTTCTGGAAATCCCATCTTTAGTTATCAGGTATCTGCTCATTTCGATCCAAACTAGATAACTTATCTCATGTAAGTTACATTAACAATGATCAACAAAACCAACCCAGTGCCAGAACTGAATGTGTGTTTATGGAAACTACGGACACGTTGAATCTTGGTCTAAAGATATCAACAGTTCTAGCTACATGTATGTCAACGTTGTAGTGCTGTTATAGAGTTTAAAACCCCCCAAAACTGACAAACAAACCTTTAACCACAATCATTCTGTACTTTCAAAAAGTTCTTTTTAATTTGCCTTAATTGAGTCGTTTAGCTGTTTTCTGTCCAAAAGCTGCCGCAAAATGATTCACATATTTGTTCCAACTAAGTTTGAACTTGTTTGATTTTAGTGCAGAAACTAGCATCATCCTCTCTAAAGATACGGAGCCTCAAATCTGGAAAACTCTTGAAAGTACTCGTATTTTTCGTGGCAAAAATGGATGTATCCCCATCCATGGTCTAATCTAGTCTTTGGGATTTTGGAATTGTTGTCAATTTATAGACTAAATAATCCCAAAAGATATTCAGTCAAGAAAAGTTATTGTTAGTTGCACTTTTTTTACTTTAAAGGGGACCTATCATGCAAAATGCACTTGTGTACGTCTTTTCTACATGAATATGTGTCCCCGGTGTTCCAGGGAACTCACCAAGTGTCAGAAAACACAACCCTCTCTATTTTCCTCCATACCCAAATCTCTAAAAAAGGGGCTGCAACGGATCTGATCAAAACTGATCCAGATTTGAACACTGTCCTGACGTCAGGACGGTGGCGCTACGGCTATTGGGCCAACTCCACCAATCAGGAGGAGACAGCCACGGCCATTGCCGCTCGAAAGCCCTGGAGACGCTGTAGTACATATGCCAGGCCTGTAAGTGGCGCTGAAGTCTGCCACAAAAGCAGCGAAGAAGACTTCCCGCCCATAGTTACCATGGTTACCCTTCTGTTTATTCTCCGCTGTGGCTTTCTTTCTCCCTCCCCGAGGCAAGCGTTTGCTCCCGCTGCTTTAATTCAATGCAATCCCTCCCCGTCGAGGCAAGCACTGTAATTCTCTCCGGTTAGTCCACCAGCAGATGACAAACACCCACCTCTCCGCCTCTTCCAAGGAACGAGGGGACCGTGCGGCAGAGTTTCAGTTTCAGTTTCTTTCGCCGGTCAAGATGTCCGTTAAAGTTTAAATCTTCCGGACAAAATGAGAAAAGTGCCGGTCAAAGGTCTTCTTTGTTATTTATTGAGCTTTAAAACAAATGAATAACGACTCTATATAATAAAACACGGAGGACGGAGATCTCTTTTTCTCCCCCTCTTCTGACAGCCCAGCAGCTGATCAGAGCACGTCTCCCCTCTCCTGCAGGGGGGGCGTGGTCAGCAGAATCAGACCCGTAGACAGCAAACAGCACATAGAGCGAAATGAGGCATGGCTAAAATGCATGATCTGTTTGGTATTTTGAAAACAGAAAAGTATAAATATACCTTATATAGGTATGGCCCTACAATATATCATTTAAATATAGCATGATAGGTCCACTTTAAAGAATTTTGTAAGGAACTTTAAAACAAAGACGCGTCAGGACGAGGAATGTTTAGGCTCAATTTCTCAGAGATTTCCAAAGTGTCATTAGGGTTTTTAAAAACTGTCCAAATGTCCAACTTTATTAGGAAAAAAACAATTTAGTTAAATAAATATTAATTAGGGTTTTAGTTTTTCCCCAAGCTTTTAGACAATTTTCAGACTAACTAATAATTTTCATCAAATGTAGAAATGTTGTATATGCACTCAATTGGATAGGGGATGTTAAGGCTTATTTTAGAGTCATTTCCAACATGTGAATTAGGGTTAGGGTTAGGGTTAGGGTGTGGTTAGGGTTAGGGTTAGGGTTAGGGCTAGGGTTAGGGTTAGGGCTAGGGTTAGGGCTAGGGTTAGGGTTAGGGTTAGGGTTAGGGTTAGGGTTAGGGCTAGGGTTAGGGTTAGGGTTAGGGTTGTGTTAGGGTTAGGGTTAGGGTGTGGTTAGGGTTAGGGTTAGGGTTAGGGCTAGGGTTAGGGTTAGGGCTAGGGTTAGGGCTAGGGTTAGGGTTAGGGTTAGGGTTAGGGTTAGGGCTAGGGTTAGGGTTAGGGCTAGGGTTAGGGTGTGGTTAGGGTTAGGGTTAGGGTTAGGGTGTGGTTAGGGTTAGGGTTAGGGTTAGGGCTAGGTTAGGGTGTGGTTAGGGTTAGGGTTAGGGTGTGGTTAGGGTTAGGGTTAGGGTGTGGTTCTACATCGCAGTATTTTGGGATTCTCTAAAGTGTTTCCTACCTCCTGCAGACCCTCGTTCAGCAGCTTGATCGTTAAAGTAAGAGTTCAGATCGCTCTCTTCAGACCAGAGTGCTCCTCTTCTCGCGCTCAATTTCTCAGAGATTTCCAAAGTGTCATTGGGGTTTTTATAAAATGTCCAACTTTATTCTGAAAATATGAATTAGGGTTTTTTTCCCCGAGTTTTTAGACAATTCATAGACTAACTCATAATTGTCATGTTAGGAATTTTGTGTCGGCACTAAATTGGATAGGAAATGTCGGCTTATTTTAGTAATCTCCAACATGTGAATTAAGGTTAGGGTTATGCTATAAAGTAATGGGTTAGGGTTAGTGTTATGCTCTACATTGCAATATTTTGGGTTTATTGATTGTTTGTCCTACCTCCTGCAGACCCTCGTTCAGCAGCTCTTGATCAAGAGGGTAAAAGTAAGTATATTGGGCTTCTCTAAAGTGTGTCCTACCTCCTGCAGACCCTCGTTCAGCAGCTCTTGATTGTAAAAGTAAAAATAAGAGTTCAGAGTGGCTTCCTTCAGACCAGAGTGCTCCTCTTCTCGCGCTCGGCTCGCTCGCGGCTCAGGTCCGGCGTCTGCATCTCGCTGTGGCTCGCCGGCGTGTTGTTGGGCTCGTATCGCGACGAGGCCGGCGAGTTCTGCATGACGACCAGGCGGATCGGAGACTGGCTGGGCGGCGGCGGCGGAGTGTTGTCGGGAGCGTACTCCTTGGTGGGGTCTTTCCCCCGGCAGTCGTACAGGATGCAAGAAATGAGGAAGACGAGCAGCAGGATGACATAACTGGCCACCAGGATGATGAGGTTCAGGGTCACCGGGTCAATCTCCAGGTAGAATTCCATAAAACCCATGGTGCCGCTTCATATCTCGCCTCAGATCAGCTGGAAGATGTGTGTGTATGTATCAAAGAGGAGCAGTGGGAGGCAGCTGCTGCACAGAGAAAGAGCAAAAGATGAGATGAGGATGAGGCGAGGCAGCGCCGGCTTTCTGCTCTAATCCCAATGTTCAGCAGCCAATGATTAAAGCTGCTCAGTTTTAATAACTTAAGCCTCCATTTTGATTTGACCAACTATAAAAAAACGGACTTTTAGTAAAATGGAGGAAGGGACACATCGGGATATGAGCGTCACTTTTGGGATTCATGTAATAACTATTAAACTCGGAGTGATTGTTTGTTAAGGTCACAGAACAGCCATTTGAACATGAGATGGTGTGAAATTGTGCTGTTTGGGTTTTTATGTAGGAGAGTTTCTCAGTCTGTGGCTTCTGATCTGGTTTCATTGTCTCGTGTTTTTACATTTGTTTCATGTCCTGTCTGTTTTTTATGTATTTATGCTATGTTTATATACAGTTGTTGATGTACAGCCCTTGTTCAACTCTGTTGTTTTGAAATGTGCTATAGAAATAAAGTGGATTGGATGAAATATTAAAGAGAATTGTTGTTGGCGTGTGAGCACATCCTGGTAATCATTAATGGATCCATGAATATCCTCAGTGACCTACAGAGAGTCACTCAGAGGGACACAAGCCAACCAGGAAACTAAATACAGCAAAACAAGGCTAAAAAGAGACAGAAAATGACTTTAAAGAAGCAAAAGAACCAGCCTTTACCTTAATGCAACTTTATTCTGAAAATATGAAATGTTTGGAAAATGCTGAAATTTCATTCTGAGAGTATTACAGCTTTATTTTTTTAAATGTATTGCAACTTTATTCGGAAAACACTGCAATTTTATTTTGAAAATGTTGCAACTTTATTCTGAAAATATTGCAACATTATTCTGAAAATATTACGACTTTATTCTGAAAATCTTGTAACTTTATTCTGAAAATCTTGTAACTTTATTCTGAAAATCTTGTAACTTTATTCTCAAAATCTTGTAACTTTATTCTGAAAATGTTGCAACTTTATTCTGAAAATCTTGTAACTTTATTCTCAAAATATTTCTTGCATCTTTTAAATAATATAGAATTTTTTTTTTCCTGAAATAACTTTTGCTCATAATGTTTTTTATTATTTCCTTTATTATTTCCCTGATCCGTTGCTCCAACCCATCTGAGCGACTTGTCTCTGCAGAGCTTTACAGTGACGCAGAGGAAGCTTTAAATAAAAGACATCATGTGTTGCTCCAGACATAAAGACATTAATGAAAGCCTGACCTCTGACCCCTGATATCAGCCGGCTGTAAGCCTCCGTCTGACTTCATGTTTCCTCGGGAGAGGAAACACAATCCCCCGAGAGGAGAGAGGCTTCAGGGGGAATGGATTTCATTAGAAAGAGTGAAGGAGGATGTAATCTGCATTAAAGCACCATATGGTCAGTGTATTGTGTGTGTGTGTGTGTGTGTGTGTGTGTGTGTGTGTGTGTGTGTGTGTGTGTGTGTGTGTGTGTATGTGTGTGTGTGTGTGTGTGTGTGTGTGTGCGTGCGTGCGTGCGTGTGCGTGTGTGTGTGTGCGCGTGTGTGTGTGTGTGTGAGGAAGAGGAGGTAAAACACACTGATGAAGAGTTTTAAAGACACATGTTGTCTTGTTTCTGCTGCTGTTTGATAGTTTCTGACTAAATCTCCTTCCTGTTTGTGAAAAAACATCAAACTACAGCTTCCTGTTGGAGGGTCACTAACGCCATTACAGGGAATATTATGACTTCACTCCGGAGACTCTAAAGGTCCCATGACTCACAGCCATTTCTACTGATCACAGTTCCATTGTTGAGGTCTACTAGAATAGATTAACATTGTTCAATGTTCCAAACTCACATTGGTTTCTCATACAGCATCTCTGTAAAGTCTGTGTATTCACTCTCTGTCCTACACGGCTTGTTGGAGCTCCTGACCGCCCCCCTCCCTGTGAGCCCAGTGGCCGTCTGCGAGACAGCGAGACACAGCGAAACCCAGCCCGAACACACACACACACCCACAGCCTGGCTGGGAGTTTGTGTGTGTGCTCACACACAGACTCACAGCCTCGCCGCGTTCCGCCGTCTCAGGGAAGAGAAATCGGCGGAGCTGCAGCTGAGAAAATATTGAGTGTGTGAGGAAGTCTGCGGATGGGTCTATTTGGACAGGTCTTCTCTGTGTTAGAGTTTTACTCCCTACAGGGTGTACTTTGAGGGTTTGTGACTCTGCAGACCGTTTACATGCATAACAACCTTCATAACACACAAGGGGACGGGTAATAACCGGGAAAGCATGACATGGGACCTTTAAAACTTTATTCTGAAAATATTACAATTTTATTTCTTAAATATTATTTGGAAGTTTAACTTTATTTTTCATTCTGAAAATATTACGATTTCTTACTATTATTCTAAAAATACTAGAATACTTTACTCACGAAACATAAAGACTTTACTGTGAAAATATTACAAGTTTATTCTGAAAATATTACGACTTTAATCTGAAAATGTTACAATTTTATTCTGAAAATATTACGACTTTATTCTAAAAATATTACAATTTTAATATGAAAATATTACGACTTTATTCTGAAAATATTACAACTTTAATCTGAAAATATTACGACTTTAATCTGAAAATATTACGACTTTATTCTGAAAATATTACAATTTTAATCTGAAAATATTACGACTTTATTCTAAAAATATTACGACTTTAATCTGAAAATATTACAACTTTATTCTGAAAATATTACGACTTTATTCTGAAAATATTACAATTTTAATCTGAAAATATTACGACTTTATTCTAAAAATATTACGACTTTAATCTGAAAATATTACAACTTTATTCTGAAAATATTACGACTTTATTCTGAAAATATTACAACTTTAATCTGAAAATATTACAACTTTATTCTGAAAATATTACAACTTTATTCTGAAAATATTACGACTTTATTCTGAAAATATTACGACTGTATTCTGAAAATATTACAACTTTATTCTGAAAATATTACGACTTTATTCTGAAAATATTACAACTTTATTCTGAAAATATTACAACTTTAATCTGAAAATATTACGACTTTAATCTGAAAATATTACGACTTTATTCTGAAAATATTACAACTTTAATCTGAAAATATTACGACTTTATTCTAAAAATATTACGACTTTAATCTGAAAATATTACAACTTTATTCTGAAAATATTACGACTTTATTCTGAAAATATTACAACTTTAATCTGAAAATATTACAACTTTATTCTGAAAATATTACGACTTTATTCTGAAAATATTACGACTGTATTCTGAAAATATTACAACTTTATTCTGAAAATATTACGACTTTATTCTGAAAATATTACAACTTTAATCTGAAAATATTACAACTTTATTCTGAAAATATTACGACTTTATTCTGAAAATATTACGACTGTATTCTGAAAATGTTACAATTTTATTCTCAAAATACTGGAACTTTTATTCTGAAAATATGACAGTTTTATTCTGAAAATACTGCAACTGTATGTGTCTCCAGTCCTCAGACAAAAACCCAATTGTGAATGCTTTCTCAAAACGTTCTCTGTCTTCCAGCCGAAATAAAACATCAAAACTGAAAAGAGGAAATCCAGTCTCTTTAGAAATCTCGTAGAATAACAGAAACAGGAAATAGGTTTTAGAGGAATCCTCAATGCTGTTGATGATGAGCTCCGAGGGGAAGACAAGGAGAGAGCCGGAGAGATGAAGAGGAAATGAGATTCAGAGAGAGGACCCCAACGCTGAATCTCTGCTGATGTTAAAACAGATTCCTGATCTAATGCACGGTGAGACGGCTGCAGAAGACTGACAGCAAATGAAGAATCGAGGATGCTTTGGTGCAATGAAAGCAAACGTGCAGAGAGTGTGACTTCTGCATTAAATACGCCTCTCTTCTGACACTTCAACTGTTTGAGTCTTTCTTTGATCCCGTAGAAAGATGACACAGTTTAGGATTACCAAACAGAAACGTTGCTAACCCGTTCTCTATCCTTAGAGCCTTGATCCAGGAAAGGAAACACCTCCCACAAAGGAGTCCTCCAGCTCCCGATCAGACAGAGTTTCAGGCCTTTTCTGTAACTGTTCTCCGTGTGTGTTTGGCTGCTGAGTTGGACAAACTAAGGGGAAACAGGCGACTTCTTTAGCCTTCTTGAATCGCTCTCAGAGGCAGCCTTCTGTGGAGCTTTACCAAAACAAGTTACTGTGATTCAAACTCATTCATTGCCGAACGGTTTGAGTTCAGGCGGACCAGGGTTAGGTTGAACATTTCCTGACAGTAATAACAACAACAAAAACCAGGCATCCTTTCCTCTTAATCGACACACATACATTTTCATCGACGTTAGAATCACCGGAAAAGTCTGTGAGAGTGTGATTAGAGCTTAAGAAGCAGTCCTGAAGAACCATCATCGCAGGCAAACAAGAAAGACAAACATATTTTGTCGAGCAGATTGTCTGCGACAAGGCAACCGGTAACTGTTTGTGTAACACATCCGACCCTTTGCAGGGGATGCCTACTGCGGGTGGCAGAACAGACCTGAATCCAGTAGACTTCTCAGGATGACTAGAGATCTTCTCATAGTCCAGAACAGCTAACAGGCACAGCAGAATCCTGATATGGGCCATTTCCCCAGACCAGCACACAGTATCCACCATGTTCCTGGAGCAAATCAGCACAGCAGCAAAGGACAGGCGAAAGCAGCAGCGTGGAAGCGCTCCGGTCTCTCCGTGGTATCCCCGGGGTGAAAGGTCTCCAAAAGCAGCACACGACACCGCAGCACACGACAGGTGGGAGCAGGCCTCCGCAGACCGCAGACAACTAAAACTACTACTTGTATAAGCAGGGATTGCTAAATGTTTGTAAGCAGGAGAGCTAGATGCTAACATGTACAGCACTTTGGCCCGACCAAAGA